CCCCCCCCCCCCGGAAACTGCCCCCACTCCTCCCACCCCCTTCCCTCTGCCCCACTTCCAGCCCACTGCGCAGGAAGTAGCAGAGGCCCTGGCCTGCCCCCCTCAAGGGATGAGAACCGACTCCCGCCCCTCCATGCTCCCTGTGCCCAGGCCCCCCCTCAAGGTCACAGCCTGTCTGTATCCCCCCAGATCACCTCAACCCTGGAAGGAGCCACAGCCAACTTCGGGAAAGGATTTGGGCAGAAATCAGGCTACGTCTTGTGCATCACCTCCACGGCGGCCAGTGAAGTAGGAGGCACCCAGCGCTGCTGCATCTGCACCTGCACCTATCCCGCCAGCAACCTGCCCCTAGCCCAGCCCCCACCAGGGCATGGCCCTACCCCTACCCTGTGATTACCCAATTGGGTTCACATCCACCCATGCGGTCATGGCCCTAACCCAAGGCCCTAACCCAGAGGGCCTTGACCCAGTGCTACTTGCCAATGTGTGCGGGCTAGGCCTTCACCCTAACCTTGACCCCCTACTTCCGTGCATAGCACTAACCTTAACCTACCCACACACACACCCCCCAAGGCTATGGACCTAACTGTAACCTGCACACACCCGTGAGAGCATCGACCTCCCCCTGGCCACCCAATGTTACAGACTGACCTGAGTGTCTTTCTTTCAGACCTCCCCAGGCGATGTGGTAGCTGATGTACAGATCCTGAGCGAGAAAACGCCTCTGCCTACAGGATACATTTACATTAGGGAGTTCTTAGAACCAAGTGAGTCCTGTTGGCCCCCCCTCCCCCCCCATGACAAATGCATGCAGGGCTCTCCCCCCCACCCCACCCCCACCTCAAACCACCCCATTTAGCTCAGCTATAGCATTTTTCTACTGTATTAGAAAATGAGGCAACAGCTCAGTGTGATGTAGGCGTGCCATTGATTTGCTGGCAATAGCACGCAGGCATGCCTGGCTCTGGTGCCTGTTCCTCTAGCCTTAATCCATGTTCTATGTTTGGGAGTTGTAGTCCTGTGTAATAGGGGCATTAGGTCGCAGACATGTCACAGCACCTGTCTTTGTACAGAGTTGAAAATTCATAGGCCCCCATTTATGGAACAGTGTTGTGCAAGGTTTTCTGTTTTGGTGATGCTGGGCCTTTGTTATCTAAAGCTGGGTGATTAGGATTTCAGTCTAGTCTGGCTCTTCAGAACATCTTGCCAACAGTAATGTTTTTTTTATAACACTAGCGTTAACCCTGGCTTTTTCTTGAGTCAGCATTCACACTGTTCAGTTAAGCCAAGCAGCAGAGACTGATGTTATATACCATGAGTTTTATTGTTAATAACTGCAGGAATTTCTTGTGACGTTATGATCTCTGCTTCCCCGTTAGAAACGTCCATTTCCAAGAAGAAACGAATTTGTGTGAAGCTTGTCCCATTAGGTGTGGCCGAACTAGTTGTTTTTGACATTATGCTGAGTGGCAAGAGTAAAGTGGTTCCATGCTATATGAAGATAGGGTAAGATGCTGCCATCCTTTCACTCTGGCTGCAAGGCCAGCTTTCTGGGGCTTTAGTTCTCAGTATAATCTGTTTTTCTCCTCTCCCCACTCCCCCCCCCCAGAGAAATTAGCAGCTTTGCTGTTTGGTGTAAAAAGGGGCACCTTCTCAAACCTAAACCCCTTCCAAAACCAAGGAATATCGGTCCAGCAATGAAGGGGCTTTCACTGGAGACAACAGACCTGGATAACAAAAAGTAAGTAATGAGTCGTCACCTTTGATTTTATTGGTGCTGGTCTTGAATTAGGAGTAAGTCCCAGTTTGTTATGGTGTGACCATTTGGCTTCTGATGTTTTGTCCTATGTCTCTCTCCTTGTGCTACTACCACAGGTTGTGGAAAATACCTTAGCCCAGTGTTCTTCGCTGCACAACCCGTGAGCCAGTGGCGGCTCCCAAAGTGTGGGTCCCTGTCGATCACACTCTCCGGTGGCAGGGGGCTGCAGCTAAGGCAGGCTCCCTGCCTTCCCTAGCCCCATGCTGCGCCGCGCTGCAAGCACTGCCCCCATAGCTCCCATTGGACGGGAACTGTGGCCAACAGGAGTTGTGGGAGTGATGCCTGCAGAGAGGGGCAGCACGCAGAGCCACATGCCCCCACCCCCAGGGGCTGCAGGGGTGCGTTGGCCCCTTCCAGGAGCGGCGTGGGGCTGGGACCGCCCGAAATGCCATCCCCTTTAATGGGCAGGTTCTGAATAGGTCTTCCACCATCCAACCTGCAGCCTCCTGGAGCCAGCTCCCCATAAACCCTCCTGCACCCCAAGTCCCTGCCCCAGGCCATAGCCCCCCCCCAACCTCCAACACCCCCTCCTGCATCCCAAGCCACAACCCTG